CAGGACACATTAATTAACAAATTTATAGCTCCCTGTAGGGAGGGCCAATTCCTGGACAGGTTACCTTAGCAACAGGTTGGAGCAGGAGCAGGTTCTTGATAAGGGTGGAGGAAGGGCTCTGAGGGAATTAACATTTCAGTCCCTCGGGGGACAGTCTCCATCTTCCCTGACTCACTCAAAATTGGCCTCCTTGATTGGAGCTGACTCAATTTACCTATCTGTATTGACTGCCTGTCTAATTCTGGCTTCGGTAATCTACAGGGACACTATAAAATTATAGGGTAGAAACTGTAATACCTCGGATCTGCACTACAAGAAATGAAGACCCATTCAATAAAATATATAAAATATGTTCAACATCTATAGTAATTAGAGAAATGCAGATCAAAACTACTCTGAGATTTCACCTCCTCCCAGTCAGAATGGCAGTTATCAAGAATCCAAAGAACAATAAATGTTGTCGAGGCTGTTGGGGGATAGGTGCACATATATTGCTGGTGGGACTACAAATTGGTGTGACCATTCTGGAAAGCAGTATGAAGTTTCCTTAGAAAATTTGGAATGGAACTACCATTTGATCCAGCTATCCCACTCCTTGGTCTCTACCCAAAGAACTGTAGGTATGCTAACTATGGAAATAAACATGGAAGCGTTCAGTGAGCAAACTCCGAGGGGGTTAGAGACTAACTGGCACTATGATTTCTGCAATTGGAATGCCCAGCAGTTTCCCCTGAGATTATTAAGGTAACTATGCAGGTGCGCTATCTAGTTTCTGTAGAGATGACTTTAGGGAGAAGGGGCTCTGAATTTGTATTAACCTGTAACTTATCCTGAGCTAACACTCAGGGTTAAAGGAATACTAGTTAGAATTTAGTCATGGTGATGGGTAATATGTAACCTTTTTTTGTGTGTGTGTTAATAAATGCAGCATCAAAGAGGAGCAGCCACCTTTGTCTGCCTGCTTCTACATTGTGTGTGTGTGTGTGTGTGTGTGTGTGTGTGTGTCTGTCTGTCTGTCTGTCCTTTGCTTGCCGCTTCATAGGTTTTCTCCGCAAGTATTCTTTACAAAGGACTTAAAATCAGCATATTATAGAAATGCAGCCACATCAATGTTTATAGCAGCTTAATTCACAATAGCTAAACTATGGAAGCAGCCTAGATGCCCTTCAATAGATGAATGGATAAAGAAACTATGCTATATATATACACAATGGGCTATCACTCAGTGTTGAAAGAGAATAAAATTGTGGCATTTCCTTTGTAAACATGTAAACATGTTTTGATACATGAATGCATTGTACAAAATTTAAATCAG